CCTTAGTCATTGTTCAGCTCTCTGATGCATAACAAGTGATTGCAAAGACCATGGCCTGTATCAGACACACCTTAGTCTCCAGAGAGACACCATTGCTCTCCAGTACTTTGGAGAGGTCCCTAACAGCAGACTTTCCCATCGCAATATGTCTTTTAATTTCCTGGCTACTGGTGCCGAGAGTGTTAACTGTGGAGCCAAGCAAACTAAAGCTGTGAACAATCTTAATCTCTTCACCATCCATCCTGATGCTGCCAGTTGACCCAGTGGTGAGAATCTTTGTCTTCTTGACATTGAGCCTCAATCCATATTGGAGGCTGCAGTCCTTGACCCTCAGCAGCAAGCGCTTCAGGTCCTCCTAACTTTCAGCTAGCAGGGTTGTGTCATCTGCATATCACAGATTGTTGATAGATCTTCCACCAAATTGACCCCACATTCCTCCTCATAGAGCCCAGATGTGTGATTACGATGAAAAACTTGCCAAGTCTTTTGTCAGCCTCTGTAGACCCCAAAGCCTAATCTCTTCTGTATACAGGTTGAAAAGGTATGGAGACAGGACACATCCCTGGCGTACGCCCTTCCCAATTTTGAACCATGCAGTGTTTCTTTGCTCTGTTCTGACAACTGCCTCTTGGTCCAAGTTTAGGTTTCTCATTAGCGTGATCAAGTGTTCTGGGATTCCCATTCTTCTCAGCTATATCATGAGCTATATCATAGCTATTTAAATTTTTTCAGTGGGCCAGCGCTGCTCTTTAATAACCCATTCCAGACAGTGAGTCTCATTCTGTATTGCTTTAAGTTCTCTGAAAAGTGGATTTTATGGATTAGGGTAGTTAATGGACACTGATGTCTTTCTCTCCTCTTACCAGTGTATCCACACAACATGCTTTTCTTTATATTAAAACTTTGCTCCTCCTAGGTCTATGCACAGTGCTCCAAAATACCAGCCATAACCCAAATCTGTATTTAAAAAGGATGTTTAAATATGGCTATTTCTGGGCTATAGAATTTCTTCTTTTTCAAAACATGTGAACAAAGGCAAAAGCTGCAGCTTTTTACCACCAAGAAAATATCAGAGGCAGGAAAGATGGCAGAGAGTTACACATATCACATCCTCCCCAAACTCT